AGAGGCGATATTTACGTCATGCCTCCAGGATAGGTCCAGGCACCCAGTAGTTACACAACCAATGATAATAGCCAAATAAGTGAGCTTTGAAACTGGTTTCCCCACCTGTAACATGGAGCAGGGGTTGGGGGGAAGACAGTAAAACCATCTGGTAGGAGGGGGGGAATTGTGTGAATTAAGCGAAATACTACATGGAGTGCACTTAGCAGGTTCCTGGCAAGTGAGGCCCAATCAGTGGGACCCATTTTGAGTCTGTAAAAGGCTTAGGGTGCCGCACATGTGGAACATGAAGTTTACCATCAGTAATGCCCTCAGTGCAGCCCTTACCACACAGTAGGTGAATAATGTGTGGGAATTATTACTTCTTTAACAAAGCCCTTAACATGCTGTCTGGCACACAGTAGGTGCCCCATAAATGGAGCTGCTCGTTTAAATCTAAATATGGATTGGCATGGCGCTGAGCACATAGTTAGCACTCAATAAATGGAAGCTTTTAGCAGTTTATAACAAGCTTAACCTGCTGCCAGCACACAGTATATACCCAAAACATGGGGGCTATGATTATTGTTCTGCAAACCTCTTAGCACAATTCCTGGCATGCAGTAAGTGCTCAATAAATGGCACTTGCTATAAAGAGGTTGGCCTAATGCTAGGCACATAGTAGGTGCTCAGATGGGCACTATATTCAGTCTGAAAGGGCCTAGCATGGTGCTGGGTACACAGTTTTTGCTCAAAACTTGCAGTTGTTATCTGCAAAGCCCTTAGAATAGCGTGTGCAAATAGGAGGCACTCAATGAGTAAGAACTATTACCATTTTTATATAACGTCCTTAGCATAATGTGTGGCACACAGTAGGTGCTTAATATATAGGAGGCTATTACTGTGTGCTTGGTACACAGTAGATGCTTTAGAAATGAGAGCTATTAACATTCTACAAGGCTCTTAGTACAGTGCCTAGCACATAGTAGGTGTTTAATATGTGGGAACTGTTAACCGTTTTTCAGTAAAGCCCCTAGCATGGTACCTAGCATACACTAGCTGCTTAATATGTGGGGACTCTTACTATTTTCTGATAAAACCCTTAGCACCGTGCCTGGCATACAATAGGCACTGCATAAATGACAACCGCTGTTTTTATCTTTAGAGGGCTGTTCCCATGCCCAGTTCGTAGTAGGTGCTCAATAAATGAGACTTGCTGTTAAACAGTAATGGGTTAGTATGGTGCCAGGTCCACAGGAGGGGCTCAGAACAGGAGAACTACGATCTATAAAGACCTTGGTACGCAGTAGGTGCTCGGTATGGGCTGTAAAGCCTTGAGCCCGGGACCTGACACAGTAGAGATGCAATAAACAGACACTTTTATGACTGCTGTATAAAGCCCTGGGCATGCTAGCTGGCACACAGTAGGTGCTCAAGACATGGGCATTATTTTCTCTTCAAGTGAGTCTGAGAGGATGGCCCTAGTTAAGCCACTGGGATGGCTGTGTGATCTCTGGTGGCACAGGTGTTCGGCAAATAGTTACTTTTACCATAAAATGTTATAAAGCCCTTGGTGCCGTGCCTGGCACACAGCAGGTGTTTATTAAATAAGTGCATCTACTGTTATTCTATAAAACATTGGCAAGTGCCTGACACATAGTAGGTACCTAATCAATGGGACTTCTATTGCTATTCTGGTATGCTTGGCACATAGTAGGTGCCCAATAGGGCTTTTATTGCTATTTCCCCTTGGCAGGGTACCTGGCACATAGTAGGTGCCCAATAGAGCTTTTTATTGCTATTTCCCCTTGGCATGGTGCCTGGCACATAGTAGGTGCCCAGTAGGTATGGCTTTTATTGCTATTTCCCCTTGGCATGGCACCTGGCACATAGTAGGTGCCCAATAAATAGAGCTTTTTATTCCTCTTTCCCCTTGACATGGTGCCTGGCACATAGTGGGTGCCCGATAGGGCTTTTATTGCTATTTCTCCTTGGCATGGTGCCTGGTACACACATGTGTGTTCCATGGGGACCGTGGCCTTCCTGTGCCCAAGACCTACTGTGCGCCCAGCAGGTGCAGCCCCACGTGGTGAGCGCAGCGTTCTTGGCCAGCCCTCCCGGCCCCCATCCCACTCGCCCGTGCACCCGCCCATCTCACCTTTGGTTGACACCCGCTTCTTTTGGGTTCGACTTCTCTTTGGTTTGGTTCTGTTTTGTTTGTTATCATCTTCTTTTTTATTTTCTCTTTCCCATCTTTTGTTTCCCCGTCCCCCTCCCTGTCCATCCCACCTCCCTCCCCTCCCCCACGTTGTCCCCCCTCCCATAGAACCGTCAGCCCCCCCTCAAGACGTTAAATGTGTCAGCANTGGCACATAGTAGGTGCCCAATAGGGCTTTTATTGCTATTTCCCCTTGGCAGGGTACCTGGCACATAGTAGGTGCCCAATAGAGCTTTTTATTGCTATTTCCCCTTGGCATGGTGCCTGGCACATAGTAGGTGCCCAGTAGGTAAGGCTTTTATTGCTATTTCCCCTTGGCATGGCACCTGGCACATAGTAGGTGCCCAATAAATAGAGCTTTTTATTCCTCTTTCCCCTTGACATGGTGCCTGGCACATAGTGGGTGCCCGATAGGGCTTTTATTGCTATTTCTCCTTGGCATGGTGCCTGGTACACACATGTGTGTTCCATGGGGACCGTGGCCTTCCTGTGCCCAAGACCTACTGTGCGCCCAGCAGGTGCAGCCCCACGTGGTGAGCGCAGCGTTCTTGGCCAGCCCTCCCGGCCCCCATCCCACTCGCCCGTGCACCCGCCCATCTCACCTTTGGTTGACACCCGCTTCTTTTGGGTTCGACTTCTCTTTGGTTTGGTTCTGTTTTGTTTGTTATCATCTTCTTTTTTATTTTCTCTTTCCCATCTTTTGTTTCCCCGTCCCCCTCCCTGTCCATCCCACCTCCCTCCCCTCCCCCACGTTGTCCCCCCTCCCATAGAACCGTCAGCCCCCCCTCAAGACGTTAAATGTGTCAGCATGCGCTCCACGGCCATTTTGGTAAGTTGGCGCCCGCCACCGCCAGAAACGCACAACGGGGCCCTGGTGGGCTACAGCGTCCGCTACCGACCGCTGGGCTCAGAGGACCCGGAACCCAAGGAGGTGAACGGCATCCCCCCGACCACCACTCAGATCCTGCTGGAGGCGCTGGAGAAGTGGACCGAGTACCGCATCACGACTGTCGCTCATACAGAGGTGGGACCAGGGCCCGAGAGCTCGCCCGTGGTCATCCGCACCGACGAGGACGGTAAGCATCAGCCCCAGCCTGGGACCCCCGCAGGCCCCAGCCTGGCCCCTGCCTTCCAGGAAAACTGGGCTGGTGGTCAAAAGGTGGAGCCTGCAGTCGCCAGGGAGCAAAGCAAGTAGCCTCCCCAAGATATCCCAGGCTCCTTGATCTTTGGAATTGAGGATTCTAGACCTGGGCAGCCTTAGCTTCGCAGTGTTCTCTGGAGCCTTGTGCCTGGAAGGTTAAGCTGGCTGCCTATATTTTGTTCAAACTGTGGAAACCATGAAATGGGGTATAGGAAACAGCAAGGAGCAACCCCTACCAGGTTACGGTCCCTCGACCCCAGGAACCTCAGTTTTATGCTCGGGATCACCCAGGATTTGGAGCTTCCGCTGTCTGAGCGTCCTGCCTAGAAAGCGGGTAGACTGCGGTGTGCTGCTAATGGTTAACTACCAGCTCTCTGGGGGATGACACCGATTTGTGGCGTTGGCCAGTTTCAGTGGTGTCCATGTTCCTCCAGCTAGAAAGCTTGAAGCTGGAAAGGCAGGGGAGGGTCCTGATCTGGGTCACATGGTGCGAAATTAACCACAACTGCCTTCCCAGTAAAACTGCAGCCTGTTGGTCCTGGGAAGCTGATTTGCTTTTTGAGCCATTGGCCTGGAAGTTTCGGTTGACAGTCCTGCACTATGTCCTAAACATGGGCAAGAAATGAAGCCACTCTTCATGCCAAGCCCTGGGGTGGGGGTGGCAGAGAGGAGCCTCTGATGCGGGAGCAGGTTGAAAAAGATCCCCAGTACCAAGTGGACCAGCTGCCTGCTGAAGTATTTCGGGGCATGCGGCAGGACCACCTGGTTCACAGCCTGGCTTTGCCTCTTCCTTAACCCTATGATCAGCGACTCAGCTCTCTGGGCCTCAGTTTCCCCATCTGTCCAATGCATCCAATGGGAATGATAAGAGCCCCCGTGTCGCAGGGATGGAAGCTCTGTGGGTGAAGCTCTTAGAACAGTGTCCTGAGGCCCTGGGCAGGTAGATTAGGCTCTGGGGGGCCTCACTGGGCTATCCATAAATGGGGTACACCATCAGGGACCCCTCCTGGGGCTGTGGGAGGTGTGAAAGAGGCCATGTCCTCCTGGCTGGTGGGGAGCACTCAGAGCACTCAGTTCACCGGCAGCCACTTGGCATCCTGGCATCGGGCAGTGGCGTTGCCCGGGGCAAGGCCGGGCGCCCGAGTAACAGCCCTGCCTGCCCCTCCCCTCCCCTCCCACCCACCAGTGCCCAGCGCGCCACCGCGGAAAGTGGAGGCAGAGGCGCTCAACGCCACGGCCATCCGCGTGCTGTGGCGCTCACCCGCGCCCGGCCGGCAGCACGGCCAGATCCGCGGCTACCAGGTCCACTACGTGCGCATGGAAGGCGCCGAGGCCCGCGGGCCGCCGCGCATCAAGGATATCATGCTGGCCGATGCCCAGGTGGGCGCGGGTGCGGGGCTCCGTGGGCTGGGGCTCGGGGTGCGGGGCTCTCTCACGGCTTCTCTCTCCCTGTCTCTGGCTGTCCCGCTCATGTCCCTCCTCTCTTCCCTGCCGCCTCCTCCCGCGCTCAGTGGGAGACGGACGACACGGCTGAATATGTAAGTAGCGCCCCCCGGCCAGTGCCGTGCTCTTCCCGCGGGCCGTGCCGTGCTGTGACTCCTGCACGCCTCTAGGAAAAGGGTCTCCTCCTCTGGCCGCCTCCCGCCCCAGGCACCCTCCGTTACCTCTCAGAGCTCACAGCCTCTGTTTTTGCATCCTGCAAATGGGAGACTAACCACGTGCATGCCCCAGAGTACAGACCCCAGGGGTGGGGGCACTTGCTGGGATCCCAGGAGGGGTGACCCAGGCACCAGGTAGAAGCTTGGACCTCTGGGCATCCATTAACCCTCTCACCTGGATGGCTCTTAGACGTGTGGGCCTCACACCTCCCACCTCCCGGTGTCCCCCAGCCCCCACCCCAGGCTTGCTTCTCTTTCCCTGTTGGACCCAGACTGAGCCCAGCTCAGCCCTCCTGGTCTAGACATTTCTCTCTCTGGCTTAGCCGTCCACTTCATTCTGGCCCATGGGTGATAAGGGGCTCAGTGGGCCCAGAGTGAGAAAGGATGTCTGTGGGACCACCCATTCCACCCTCTAAAGCTTTCTCAGCAAGTCTTAAACCAGAGAATGGGAGTGCTGTGTGACTTTGGGCAACTCACTGTCCCTCTCTGGGCTGTCTTTCTGCCCTTCAAATGGACGCCACAGGCTCTTCTGATTTCTCCAAGTCTGATATTAAATTGGCACTGGTCCCACCCACTCCCATAGCCTCTGTGTCTTCCCCACGCTGAGTCTGGAGGAAGTTCCCACCAAGACCCTGGGAGGGATGGAATGTGAGGCTCAGGGACAGGAGACCCTCTGTTGGTGCGTCCTTATCCCCACTGCTTGTGCTCTTGATCTGGGCCCCCCACAGCTCCCAGGCATGCTGGACCGTGCTTGTGGGTGTGCATGCTTGCAGATGTGGACGCACAGGTGACTGGGGGGGTGTGCACAGGTGTGTGTGCAAGTCAGGGTGCACACAGGTGTCCTCTCATTCATTGGAGAAATAGTAAAGTGCTGAGCACATACTGTATGCTAGATCCTGTGCTAGGTGCTGAGGACACGGAAGTAACCGAGACTGACGTGAGCCCCTCTTAGTCATAACACCAAGGTCAAGGACTCGGATCCCCATACCAGCCAACCACCAAAAAAAAAAAAAAGATGACCTCAAGAGTATAGATAATAAGATAATAGGAAACATAATAAAATAAGTAGAGAGTGGGCCGGCCCGTGGCTCACTCGGGAGAGTGCGGTGCTGATGGCACCAAGGCCCCGGGTTCGGATCCCACATAGGGATGGCCGGTTTGCTCACTGGCTGAGCGCGGTGCTGACAACACCAAGCCAAGGGTTGAGATCCCCTTACCGGTCATCTTTTTAAAAAAATAAAATAAAATAAATAAATAAATAATAAAACAAAATAAAATAAGTAGAGAAGGGTGGGTTTTGAATATTTATTGCGTTTGTTTGTAATATAATTTATTTGGTTTTAAGTTTATACAATTTATTTTTTAGTGATAACTGTATTTCACAATTGGCTCACGAGATTCCTGAAAACTTAACTGTTGGCTCTTGTGAGTTGGTATGGGGTATCTCCAGCACACCAATGGGTGTAGAGGCAGAGGGCACAGCCCATGCAAAGGTCCTGGGGCAGGACCGAGCCTGGCATGTTGGTGGAACAGCGAGGGGGCCCGTGTGGCTGGAGCAGAGAGAGGAAGGGGACAGAGGAAGGAGGGCAGGGCAGGGAGGGGGCGGGGCAGGTCATGCAGGGCTTGGTGGGCCACAGGGAGGACTCAGCTTTTACCCCAAAGGAGGTGGGAGCCATGGAGGGCTGTGGGCAGAGGAGGGACGGGGCCTGACTCAGGTGCTCACAGGCGCCCTCTGGCTGCTGCAAAGAGGACAGACTTGGGTGGCGATGAGGGTGGGAGTCAGGGGACCAGCATGGAGGTGACTGTGCTGGCCCAGGCAGGTGATGATAGGGGGAGTCTGGCTGCATGTGCCCACCTGAGCATGGACATGCTATGCATCATTATCATGGTCTCTGCATGAGCTTGTGTGCACGTCTCTGCCTGTGAACTGGTCCCCGCATTCTCCTCTCTTGGCCCCTGGCGTAGGGAGGAGGTGGGCAGGGCTGGTCCCAAGCCCAGCTGTAGTGCTGACCCCCACCCCTGCCCGCAGGAGATGGTCATCACAAACCTGCAGCCTGAGACTGCGTACTCCGTCACGGTAGCCGCCTACACCATGAAAGGCGATGGCGCTCGCAGCAAACCCAAGGTGGTAGTGACCAAGGGAGCAGGTATGAGACCCCCCCACCCACGTGCCACCTACGACCCCTTTGTCCCCAGAGTGGTTTTTTTTTGGTAGCTGACTGGTGCAGGCACCTGAACCCTTGACCTTGGTGTTACAACACCACGCTCTAACCACCTAAGCTAACCGGCCAGGCCTCCACTCCTGCCCCCACCACCAGGGTTCTTGAGCCCATGTGGGCGGAGGGTGCACCAGGCAGGGGGAACAACACAACGAGAGCAAAGGTGTGGGGGCTGCCCAAGAGGGGGTGAGGCCCCCGCATGGTGTGCCCCGCCTCATCCTCACCCTTCTAGCTCCGACACACAGATACAGTTAACAGCCACCTACCCCCTGGCCACCTGTCTTTCCCTGGCTGTTCCCCCATTTGCTGGCTGACTCTCCCCTCCCCATCCTTTAGGTCTTTGTTCAGTCTGCGCCTCCTCAGGGAAGCCTCCCCTGACCGCCTCCATGCCGTGGTCTCGGTTAGATTGCCCCCCACTCTGGGTCCCCATAGTGCCCTGTGCTTTCCCCGTCATGGCTGTGATCACCCTGGGTAGATTGTCAGTTCGGGGTGGTGTGCACCCAATGCACCATGAAGCTGCTTCTCCCGGCCGCCCTGCCTCAGTTTCCCTTTCCAGCCTCTCCTATCAGTCATAACAGGCTGAATCTTTTCCCAGCCAAAATTGAGCCGAATGAGGACAAAGAGGCCACCGTGAAGATGTAAGAGGAGGGTACGCCGGGCAGAAGGCACAGCCCAGGCAGAGGCTCAGGGTGGGGGAGAGTGGGGGGACAACAGAAAGGCCACTGTGGTTTCCATCCCATTTCCCCCACCTGCCCCTTCCTTGGCGACCCTCTGACCGCATAACCCACATTAAAGGCCTCCCGGCTGGACAGAGCCCCTGCCACACTGCTGCCAGCCCTTGCCCATGCTGTTCCTTTCATCTGCCTCATCTCTACATCCTGCAGCATCCAGCTCCAATGTCACCTCCTCCAAGAAGCCTCCCATGTTATCTCCCCTCCTTCTAGCCAGCAGGACGCCTCCTCTTCTCTCAGGGATGTTGTACAAGAGCTGTGCTTGCTAAGCAGAGCCTGCTGCATGTGCTGGCCCTGCCCCGGCTCTTCATAGCTGTCACTGTCTGTTAAAGGTCCTGATAAGTCCTGCAACGAAGAAGTCTGCTTCCATGTATAGAGCCCAGCTTTTCCTCTTTTTTACCTAACCCCAGAATCTCTCTTGGCTCGTTGATTGCTACCCAGACTTTGAGAACCACCGAGCAGGGACAAGGTTTTAGACACTTCTGTGTCCCATGGGTATTAATCAGGTGCCAGCAGGAGACAAGAGGTGATTGAGTTATTCACTGAAAGGAGACGTTCTGTGAATGTTTTCATTTATCAGGTTCTCTGAGTCTTCCACCTCCCTGCTGTTCCATGTACAGCCCCAGCACGTTGAACCCCAGGACCTTTGAATGTGCCGTTCCCTCTGCCTGGAACACTGTACCCCCAGATCTCCCAGTGGCTCTCTCTGTCACCTCCTACAAGTCTGCCTCTCAGAATGAGGCTTTCCCAAGACCTGCTTTCAAAAATTGCCACCCCACCCTGTGTTCCCGGATTGGTGGGTGGCCACGTGGCCCTGACACCTGCCCCGTGTCCCCGCAGTGCTGGGCCGCCCCACCCTGTCGGTGCAGCAGACCCCCGAGGGCAGCCTGCTGGCACGCTGGGAGCCCCCAGCTGGCACCACCGAGGACCAGGTGCTGGGTTACCGCCTGCAGTTTGGCCGCGAGGACTCGACGCCCCTGGCCACACTGGAGTTCCCGCCCTCCGAGGACCACTACACGGCATCGGGCGTGCACAAGGGGGCCACGTACATTTTCCGGCTGGCGGCCCGGAGCCGTGGCGGCCTGGGCGAGGAGGCGGCCGAGGTCCTGAGCATCCCCGAGGACACCCCCCGTGGCCACCCACAGATCCTGGAGGCAGCCGGCAATGCCTCAGCTGGCACCGTCCTGCTCCGCTGGCTGCCACCCGTGCCTGCTGAGCGCAACGGGGCCATTGTCAAGTACACGGTGGCTGTGCGCGAGGCCGGCGCCCTGGGCCCTGCCCGAGAGACCGAGCTGCCAGCGGCGGCTGAGCCAGGGGCCGAGAACGCGCTCACACTGCAGGGCCTCAAGCCCGACACAGCCTATGACCTCCAAGTGCGAGCTCACACGCGCCGGGGCCCCGGCCCCTACAGCCCCCCTGTCCGCTACCGGACGTTCCTGCG